CGTCTTCATAAACTGTCTAATATTTTATGAACCCCCCTGGCTAAAAAATATGTGACCCCCCCACTGTTTCCACCTCCCCACCCCTCCTGCTATATTATGACCAGTCCCTCACCAGAGGTGTAACTGAACACTTGCCTGCTTGCCCTGGGCAAGTGAATATCATGACGGGCCAGTAAACGTTTTATCTTGCTTGCCGGTTTGGGCAAGTTGCCTTGCCACAAAAAGCTGGGCATCTTTGAGTTTATGTTTTCATTGTCGGATAAATTTTTTATAGTGCATGTACTTGATTCATATTTTGTTTTTTTGTGAGCCAAAGCTAGATCTGAGGCAGTATAACATAGCCATTTAGAGCAGTGGGAGAACGGTTCAACATGTTGTCCCCTTAATTTATACCCCCTACCTAGGTACCCCAGTGGCCATTGTCTGATGGCAAGTGAATTTTATTCAGAGCAACTAATTTTCATGTCCAACTTGCCCTGAAGGCAAGTGGTCAAAAAAGTAAAGTTACACCACTGTTTACTCTAGGACAAAGGCGACTATAATTTGCATTCCTTAACCATTCTATAATCGTACTTAAAAAACGATCTATCTTATGAGTTCATTGGCGAAGTAATTTTAAAAATAAACATTGTCTAAGCCGAGAAAATCGAAGCTGAAGTTTATGTAAATCAGGACAAATCTTTATCCGATTTACAAACATTGATTAAACATTCATTTCTTTTGAATTTTCCTCGTGAATTATTAATGAGTTTTTTAAGTACTAAATAAAACATGAGCAGCCGATCTGTATCTGATATACACACTCGAGCCGAAGGCGAGAGTTTGTATATCAGATACAGATCGGATGCGAATGTTTTATCGTACTTAAAAAATGACCCTTCTTATGAGTTCATTGGCGAAGTAATTTTAAAAATAAACATTGTCTAAGCCGGGAAAATCAAAGCTGAAGTTTATGTAAATCAGGACAAAAATCCGATCTACAAACATTGATTAAACATTCATTCAAACACTCATTAATAATTCATAAGCTTATTGGCAAATCATGTTAACTATGATATGTCACGTGCAGTGGCTTTAAACCTGATAAAACACTCCAAATTAGTATTCTTTATATAAAGAATACTAATAAGGCAGTATCTATTGTAGTCGTGTCCTCAGTATTTTTTATATAAAGAATACTAATAAGGCAGTAAATCTATTGAATTTGTAGTCGTGTTTGAAGCCGTTCAATAAACTCGCAGGTCGTGTTTTATTAGGTCTAAAGCCACTCGCGCTGCGCGCTCGTGGCTTTAAACCTAATAAAATACTCCTGCTCGTTTATTAAACAGTACTTTCTTTTGAATTTTCCTCGTGAATTATTAATGAGTTTTTAATATTTAATAACAGTTTGTAATATCGGTAATAGGAACAACAAAATTACTGATATTTCTATTTGAGTACCGATAAGCCGATACCTATAGGATATGGATATCGGTGCATCACTAAATACAAAATATAATTTTGTTTTCTCCCGTCGACGTTGTTGGTTATGAAACTTTCTAATATCTCTGTGTAGGTAGTGTTGCTCGGTTGTGAAACATGTCTAACATTTACATATGTTCAGGTAACCTTCGAGAACCAGTATATGCCCCGGATCATGTCTTCTGTGAAACTGCTAAAACTCTCCATGACCACTTTAACAACGCTCCACATCTGTGTGATGTGACTTTAAGGTAAGCCGGGGAAAATGCGCAAACCAGGAAACAATATTGAAACAAGTGTTTCATTTTTTGGGAGATTTTTTGGCTTCCTGCAAATTTTATTTCCGCAATTTTCGCAGGCCTGTTCAGAAACGTCAAGGTTTGTTCCGTGATCACAATACACGAATCGCGAAATTCGATTGCGCGTCCAAACTATGACGCGTTCTGAATCAGGCAAAGCCCGAATTCAAAGTAAAACATGTAGGCCAGGGCATTTTTTGCTTGCCCCAGTAGTGAAGCATGATTTTCAGATGAACTGGGCCCTTTTGATCATTATAGTAAAAGGTTAACCTTGTTGAAAATACTGCATCTGCCTGCTTTGAATGCTTTTTCATATCCTCTCACAGTCTTGACATTCCATCTTTCAGAACAGGCAGAGGCGGTGCTAAAGGGTGTGTGTGTGTGTGGGGGGAGGAACACCCCCAGTTGTCAGGTAGTCGCAAATTATCTAATTCCAGTTGGATAGGAAGGAAAGAAACTAAAATGTTTGAGTGACACTGATTAAAAACTAATAATTCTAGCTAACATTAGAGAAATGTACGAAAACATTGCGGAAAATTAAACAAACAATGCTATGTTGATAGAAAAGAATGAGAAGTTTAATGTGCGGAATATTTTTTGATGTAGAGCCGTGAACTATTAATGAGTCGGCAAAATTCCACTTACACACCTACCCCCCCCCCCCTATTCAAAGAGGGTTAGCGCCGCCCCTGAGTACAGGCGTAACTGTAAACTGTACGGGGAAAAGGCCCCCTTGAGACTTGACCCCAGTAGTTGCAATTTCATAAAAAATGCCCTGCATGTAGCTGTCACTGGATGATTTAAAATATGCGTATTAAAGTATTGAAATGTTCAGTCATGTATTCGTGCTGTATTGTAGTAATATGTATTATATAATAACTACAGTGAAACATGCAATTTGATTGGTCAATAGCCGTGCAGGATCAGGCTATCCTGCACGAGGAATTAAAATGCCTTCGCGGGATTTTCGCTGGATTCTCAAAATGTCATTGTTTCACTGTAGGATAGCGTGATCCATGCACTTGGGATGTTGCTCGACTTTCGGAAAGCGTAAAAATACACTCGCCTGCGGCTCGACTATTTTTACGCTTTCCGAAAGTCTCGCGACATCCCTCGTGCATGGATCACGCAATCCTGCACGGAAAACCATTCGGTATTCCTTTAATCATGAATGCACGAGCGAACATTTGAATACTTAAATACGCATATTTTAAATCTTCTAGTCACAGCTACATGTTTTTCTTTAACTGTGATTTTTACCCAAACTTCGCGGTTCGTGTATGCTTCTTAGTTCACTCCTGAATATTCTCCAATGAAACACTTTTCTTTGTGTTTGTTTTCCAGGAATTTTCTCAGTGGTATTTATGGTGAGAGGACGCTCTCTCGAGAGGCGTATTTCCACGAACCTGTGAACAATACGACTTCTAATCTCACATCAAACGTTTCCGGATCTTTAGCAGACAGAATGAGAGAGAGTATTGTGAAGGATCATGGCTTGCCTTTTGTCTAGATCAACAGCATGGATGAAGCAAGGTCGTTGGACACCGTACAATTCTCTATAGGAAAGTTTCACTAACAGGGTAGAATGGGATTCGCCTGTTGTTGGGCTGGGATTTCATGCACTAGGACTCAATAAAACAATAAAAAAATGGGAATGGGATTTGAGTAAGGAATGATGGGATTTTGTCAAAACATTTGGGCTGGTAAACTGGGATTATGGACCCCCCCCGCCCACTTCAGGATCCTTCACTAAGCACTATCGTGCGGCAGATGGTGGTCAACCTACAGTTACCAGAGGGAGGTTCATTCTGACCATAGTTAATAGAATAGATGGTTTGGAAACTCATTAGAATAACAATATAACTCATTATCTATGTTAGTCAACGTTTATTTTTAGATCTGGTCGTTCACCGTCACGTGTGTATTGTATATGAGTTACCTATCCGTGACTCGAACAATGGGGTAAATTGAAAATTGCTATTGGGTGGTTTTAGCAAAAATACAATACACACGTGACGGTGAAGGACCAGATTTATGAATAAACGTTGACCAACATGGATAATGAGTTATATTGTTATTCTAATGAGTTTCCAAACCATCTATTAACTATGTTCTGACATTGACCTGTTGTCGTGTTAGTTCACTGAAATCGACTTATATCCACGGAGATGTTTCCCTGCATATGCAGGATGTAGGAAGACCTGTCACGTGAAGAAGTGCACGGGGATGATACTCTTCAGGGGGGGGGGGCAGTTGAACGTTTACCCAAATTTCTATGGATGATTGTAATGAAATAACCCGAATTTAACACATTATTTCTGATCATTTTTTTTTGGGGGGGGGGGGGAGTTGTAGAAATGACGGTAAAATGTTATCCCGCTCTACTTACTGTAAGTGATAATTAAATTTAAATGTATCAATTATTTCAATTTCTAAATTGGCAACGAGAAGAAATATTTTTCTAGTAGAATATAAATATTGTGCAAAGATATTAAATAATAAAATGTTGAAACTCTGAAGAACAGTAAACTTTGTCTCGTAATCACTCAGATGAAAACGACGGTAATTCATCCTTCCGGAAATTACGTCACCTTGGCTATAGAGCCTCGTCACTATGATCGAGATATTGGGTCTTGACTAATGTCACATGCACGACAATGAGGCTCTCTATTGCCAAGGTGACATATTGGAGGCGCTCAGGTCTTGTGCCAAATTATGTTAATAGAGACCTTACGATTTTAGGACGGCAACGCGACGGCAACAATGTACGAATAATTTAGTTATTTAGACATTGTCCTCGTTCTGTTTTATACAACGCTAAATCACAGACTTTCACGTCTTGATACAACGGCTGCATTCCAAGCCACAACAAGTGCTACTTCAAACTGGGTTTAGCAGAACTCTTCCCAACCATAAAACCCATGTCTTCAACTTCTAAAACTGTATTAAATTCATACGATTGATAATATACGACGAACTATCTTTACTACGTTTATTTGATGGAGTTTGTTTTGACCATTGCCGTCCTAAAATCGTAAGGTCTCTATTCCCATTGTTTTACACGCCTGTTGTAGAAACTGGCTTTAGCTGACACGGTTAGTGTGGTTAAATACATTACCTTTCATCGGGTTGAAACGCCTCTGCGGAATTAAGGGGGAGGAGGCCCATTTATAATGAGGAGGCCCGGCCCTGCCCTACCCCTTCTGAAATTTGACCTCGTCACGTGATAATCTTGCTTCCGTGTCAACGAGAGACCTGGATCGAGCGACCTGCCCAGCTTCGTCGCCATTTTTTTACACTCGCAAAAATATTGACTTGAGAAAATATAATGTTTTGAATGAATTTCGCTTTGACAGTACTAGCTTTAGTTGATGTCTCCACGCTTGGCTGTCCTTAATAAGAAAGGTAAGATTAAAGAGTTAATTTATATCGAATTTGAAGCGCCATCGGCCTACTGCGATAGAATAAACAAGTCGTATTCATGAATTACCATGTTTTGTGAAAATACATACTCCGTTTTTTACACTGGTTTCACTTCGAAATTCGCACTTAAAGACAAGAGTTTACCAACTTGGATACGTTTACATCAAACCTCTACTTTAAGCGCGAATTTAGGGTGAATTATCAGTCGTAGTCGGTCTGAAAAGCGTCTCGAAGTAAATGAAATTCTATTGACATATTTATATAGCCATTTCCAGCTTAGAACATCGTATTGCGTAGTGGATATTTCTATATTTTAGAAGTAAAATATTTCAGTTGTTGAACTACGGATATGGAGAGTAAAGTAAATAGTTAGAAATGATTCATTTGCGCTTTGTTTATCGTCGTTCACAATCATTCTTGACGGACAAAGCGACCTGCTTTATACAACCAGTTTATAAGATAGTGCCTTTCAAAGAATATATTTTAATCTTTTAAGCTTCAAGCCATGTTCTGCCTTCAATATTTGACACCGCTCTCTCGCTGTTAACGGATAATTTCATTCTTAATATATTGTTTATGTATGGTGGTGTTTTAGAAAATGAAGTGTTTTTGGAGTCCATTTATTGATATATTTACATTGGTAATAAAAATTTAGACGTTTTCACAGTGTAACTATATATTAAATATAAGCCTGTATGGAAGGCATTTCTAATAGACATCACTCGAAAACAGTACAGCTGTAAAACTATGTTTTTATTGAAAGTCAGAATTTTAAAGACTTTGTTTATTATTGGGTTATGGGATAATAATTGGTTTGGGGCTGTAAAATAAATTATTAACTCAATGTGTCTGATAATACGGAATATTTTCCAAGGGGTTTATTTCATATTACCCAGAGAAGCTGGTCCATTTAAATTCATGATAACTTATGGTAAGATGAATTAAAATAAATATCATCAATGAGACATCACAGCAGTTTTTTTGCATTTGCGATAGATAATGATGTAACATATTGCTCCGTATTGTTTTAGTCTTGCATTGTACAGCCATTGAAGTTTTCATGTGAAACTCCTTTGTCAGAAAATTATGTAACTACTATGTTGACAACCCACTTCCACACTCCAAAAGGAGTATCCAAAAAGTTATGTTGACACATTGTAATTTGCCCATTTCATGTTTTGCCAGATGTTAATTATGAGTATTTTCAGGTGATGATGTTATCAGATTATGAATACATTATATTTATAGGGTAGTATATCATAAAATTGGATCTGAAACTTTCCTGAAAAACTGCAGTTTAATCTGTTAGTGTGCAAGATTCTCCCTTTGACAAGTAAAATTGTCTGGCATAAGGCAGAATAAAATAATAAAGTTGGGTGCATAACAACACACATTGACAGTTTGGTTGACCAATTAGTGTGGAAAAACATCCTGTTGTTGAGTAAAATTGTCTGGTGTTAGACAGAGTACAACATAATGGTTGGGTACATTTGGGAGGAGACATCCTTGGGTTAAGTACCACCCGCACTGGACTTAAGATGTCTTCATGTTTGAGTCTTGACCTTTTTTGTCTATGGTTGCTAGTGGGGATACAGCTAAACATATACTATAATAGCAGAGGTCTGGATTTCAAACTTTAACAAATGAATATATCTTGATGCTAAAGCTGTCACATTTACGGCATAATAAAGAGTGGAGTAAAGTTTTCAATTCACAGAGCGAAGTAAAGCTTTCACTTTAGTTTTCAAATCATCCACATAACACATCCTGTTTGAGCTATTTTAAGAATTTCATCACTAAAACATTTTATATTTTTACAATTCTATAGTAAGCCAGGGCCATTTAAATTCTTTGCATATTTTGCCTCTTTAAAATTTCATTGATAATTACAATAATTATATGTCTGTTTCATTATAACCATTCATGCATTTTAAGTGGATATAATTTCCTTGTTTCATTTAATTAATATAATAAGTTGGTATACGTCTGTGACAAAGTAGAATGTTAGAGTTGATGATATTGTTCTTGCATGCTATTGAAAGTCCCTGCCTACAACACCACTTGTGCCTGTCTTGGGAAAGTCTTTGTTCTGTAAATTATTTTAAAAAAGAACAGTTCTGGTTTATGTTATGACAAGTGCATGTTTGTCATAATACCATAAAAGATTATGCCACAAATACACCGATTTTCTTGATTTTAAGTCCTATTTAAAGCACATATATTTATATATTTTATTATTATTAATTTGCCCATAATTAAAGAATTAAGATATATTTACAGATAAGTAAAAATTAAGGGCTAGAAACCTTAAAGAAACCCTTTCAGACTTTTAGTTGATGTGTAAACATAGGAGTGTTTTATTACACTTACAATGTGTGGGTGCAGCCTGAGTATCTTTATAAAACGCAACAACAAAAGTTTTATCAAAAGACATGATTTGCTAAAAGCTTGTGAATGATCAGTAAGTGCTTTAATTAAATATTTCAAATGGGATATACCATTCACACCATTAACAAGCTTTTGTTGGTAGGGATGTCACTACTTAAAAGTACAAAGTGAAATTCAGCGTTTTGAGCTGAGGCCGGGGATCGGGAAAAAGCTGATGAAATTTTCCCGACCCTGGCTACTAACTTCCCGATAACTAGCCTGCTCACAGACGTTGTAGTTCTTACGCCAAGCGACGAAATACTATTTCATCGCTTGGCGTAAGAACTACAACGTCTGTGAGCAGGCTACCCGATGACGGGCCTTCGCTCAAAATGCTGAATTTCACTTTGTAATTTTCAGGTAGTTGCATCCCTACCAATGAAAGCTTGTTCATTCACAAAGTTACAATTTTTAACGGTGGTACCAAGCATTCCTTTTTCCAGCTTTTTTATATCCAAGAGCTATAGAATCTGCTATTTACTTTATCTATCATTGCACCAGATCTATCATTACTGGGATATTCTGTGGGACAGTGGTTTTTACATGATAGATTTTCATCTCTCTATGACCAAGGTTTGATTGGGCATAAAAAATACCTGTGGTTCCGGTTTCATATCGCGAAAAAATTAGGGTCGGTAGGTCAGAAATAATTTTTTTTTGAATATTTTTTTCATGGTTTTTTCAATAATTAGTGTGACAACAGAACGGAACCGGAACCACAGTTATTTTTTTACGCCTTGCTACAATATACAGTTGTCTGATTATAATTTTACCGCAGTCACATGAGAGAGGAGTGCTTTCAACTTGACCCTACCATTTCACCTCAGTCACATGAGAGAAGAGTGCTTTCAACTTGACCCTCCTGTTGTAACAGTGCACATTTTCTGTTAATTGAGACATTAAATAATATGTTTAGTTCCTAGCATTGTGCTGGTATCACCCTGATGTGGCTATGCCCTCTGGTAAAGCTGGATTTCACAAGAATGCTGACTGTGCAGGATTATTTACTGATCATGATCCAGAGAAACAATTTAAAGACTTGAAAGAAATTGGACATGGCAGTTTTGGCGCTGTTTATTATGTGAGTTGGTGGGAAAATGATGATTTCTTAAAATAACTGATTCTCCTCCGAAGTTTAGAGCTTGACATTTTCAGCACTATCCAATGGAATTCTAATCCTAACTGTTTTGTTGGCCGCTTTCTTCGATTTCAACTGCCATTTTAGAAACAAATAATGGCAAATGTCAAAGTACATTTAATAGTTTTGAAATCTAAACAATATAATATTACACATACTTTTACAATAAAAAAGACATGCAAAATACAAAAATAATGCAGATAAACGGAAAGTCGCATGCAATTAATTAACCGGTTGTCTCCTCGCAATTAAATGGCTACAAATTCTTAAATAGGGTATCTTAAATTACTTTCTAAAAGTCTATAATCTTGATCAAACATGGTGTCCAAAAATCCTTTTATTTTCCATCGATGCTTCCGTAAGGCGTAAAAAAATACCTGTGGTTCCTGTTCCCGACCGACCCTATTTTTTTCTGCCAACCCTATTATTTTTTTCAATGCGATTGACCGTGCGACCCTATTTTCTCCAGGTGGTTGCGGGCTGCTCATACAGCGTGCCAAAATGGCATCTGTTCTCACACTAATTATTGAAACAAATTGCCTAAATTCGTCCATAGGAAATACGCATCTCTAGTTAGTATTGATGTCGGGACTCTACTGCAAATTGCCCAGCAAAAAACCGTCAAAACCATGAAAAAAATTTCCGACCCTAATTTTTTCACGATATGAAACCGGAACCACAGGTATTTTTTTTTACGCTTAAGCTTCGTAATCTCACTCAAAAGTCGTTCGCTAAACTTTTGTACTAAATGAAACACTAACCCATACTCTAATCCTTACACTGTCCTCCAGAATTATTGGATTTGATTTCAGGATATTTTTATGTAAAGTGAAAATGTTGTGTTTTCTTACAAGGCCAAACATGTCAAGACAGGGGAGGTGGTGGCCATCAAGAAAATGTCATTCAGTGGCAAACAAAGTGCTGAGAAGTGGGCGGACATTGTTAGAGAAGTGAAATTTTTAAAGCAATGTAAACATCAAAACACCATCAGTTATAAAAGTTGTTATCTCAAAGAACATACGGCATGGGTGTGTATCAGTATGGATGATGTTAATTAATTTAATTTTCTGACAATATACCATACCATATGATGCCATATCATATGGTACCATACCATTCATTACCATATTGCACCATACCATATGACACCATACTACTCATTACCATATGACACCATACCACTCTATACCATATGACACCATACAGCCCACATCAGCTTTTAGTTGACATATGTTACAATTAACCTGCATTATCAAATAAAGTATACCACTCATTACCATATGACACCATACCACTTTATACCATATGACACCATACCACTCATTACCATATGACACCATCCACTCTATACCATATGACACCATACCACTCTATACCATATGACACCATACCACTCATTACCATATGACACCATACCACTCATTACCATATGACACCATACCACTCTATACCATATGACACCATACCACTCATTACCATATGACACCATACCACTCATTACCATATGACACCATACCACTCTATACCATATGACACCATACCACTCTATACCATATGACACCATACCACTCATTATCATATGACACCATACCACTCATTACCATATGACACCATACCACTCTATACCATATGACACCATACCACTCATTACCATATGACACCATACCACTCTATACCATATGACACCATACCACTCATTACCATATGACACCATACCACTCTATACCATATGACACCATACCACTCATTACCATATGACACCATACCACTCATTACCATATAACACCATACCACTCTATACCATATGTCACCATATCACTTATTACCATATGACACCATACCACTCTATACCACACCATAAAATGTAATTCAATACCATACTATACCAAACCAAATACACCCTTTCGATAATTACGTCATTTGGCCTGGGAGCTTCGCACTCATGAATCATGACCCAATCACATTGTGTAATTTACTAATAAGAGCGAGGCTCCAAGCATCGGCTTTAGAGCCAATTCAATTTGACAATGATAGTATTCTGTCTACTGTAAATAGCTGTTAAAATAAAGTGTACAGCACCTGAACTGTTCAATATCTTGCTTGACAGTGCTTCTAAATCCATAAAACATTTACATATTATGCAAATACTGTATATTTTCAAAATCTGCCGTATTTATTTACATTAGAACCCAAGCTTTTGTGGTTCACACGAAATATTACGTTGGTGATTTTCTCTAATAATAAGAGGGTAGGATCAAAGTGGGCGTTGTCACTCGCCAGCCCAATCAGCTGTTTGGGTTCTGTACCATGTGACCTGTTCAAATCGTTCCGAGCGGGAGGAATCTTATGACATCATAACGGCCTCGATAAAATATTTTGGGGACACGTTTGAGCCATATAAGGAAGTTGGAGACATGTTTGTGCCATATATGGAAGCATGGTTTCCTCGCGCTTCGAACGATGAAATAATTGGATGATCCTACCCTCTTATTATTAGTGAAAATCACTGACATAATATTTCGTGTGAGCCGCGAAAGCTCGGGTTCTAATGTGAATAAATATGGGAGGATTTTGAAAATATACAGTATTTGCATAATATGTAAATGTTTTATGGTTTGAGAAGCACTGTCAAGCAAGATATTGGACTAGGGATGAGCCGATAAGGAAAATTGCCGATTACTGAGGCCGATTATTTATAAGCCGATTATCGTAACTAATCGGCCGATTAATCGGTAACCGCCGATTATTTTAAAAAGCAAGCGAAAAATCACAAAATGACCAACAATGAAGTTGTAAATGAGTTTTATTGTTTACAGTACACACTATGTACAATTGAAAACAGCTTCAATCTTGCATGTCAATAGTCAAAGTTAAGTTTTGGCAGATTATGGTGTGAAAACAGGATATTGTCAGCTATGCGGAGCTAGTCTGCTGCGGTTTTCAGTGGATATGTTCCCAGCTTCACTTCGCTTGAGACAAAAGACACAGGTTTTGCAACAAAATGTGAAAATCTATTCGCTTGTATTCAGTATTCTGGCATGTGCTCGGCAGCTGCAGAAAAAGTCTTATGGCCGATTATGTGCCGATTTTCAGGCAATAATCGGCCGATTACCGATTATTTAAAAAACGGCCGATTAATCGGCTTTGCCGATTATTTACCGATTAATCGGCTCATCCCTATATTGGACAGTTCAGGTGCCGTACACTTTATTTTAACTGCTATTTAGATAGAATATTATTGTTATTGCTGTCAAAATGAATTGGTTCTAAAGCCCGTGCAGGGTGCGATAATTCAAGATTTTTAGTCGTACCTGACTGGTACGCCAATGGTTGTTGGCGCGTACTTGCACAAACTCAGTACTCAATGCGTGGGCCTATTTAGTCATTAAAATAAGGTTCATATAAAGTACAGGTTTCTGAAAAGTATGTTCAGACTACAAAGTAGAAAAAGAAGCACAATTGCAATATACAAACAATCGACTCCAACGTTCCTTAGTGTCATCAGTCAAATCATGTTTCATGCCAAGACATCTCAGACACATGATATACCAACCTAATTATGGTACTGAATACCTTGGACTTGGTCATGTGGTACCAGCAAAAAATAAGTACGCAGATAGCAAGATTTCTGTGTACCTATGTGGTATTTGGTTGAAGACAAAGAAGTACCAGACCGTAATAATGGCGTACCTCCGGTACGTAAGTACGCGAATTATCGCACCCTGCCATGCTCCAAGACCAAAAAGTATATGACATAATTATCGAAAGGGTGTGTTACATAATAGTTGTGTTATGAGAAGTAATAGTGATGTTCTCTTTTAATAAAGCTTGTTATGGAATACTGTGTTGGCTCATGTTCTGATGTTTTGGAAGGTACTGTGTTTATTTTTGTGATCTGTTTATTTTTGACCACAAAATAAACATTTTGTCTTTCTTTGACAGTGCACAAGAAACCTTTGGCAGAGAAAGAGATTGCAGCCGTGTGTAAAGGATCTCTTAATGTGAGGCTTGTTTTTATATGACAAGCTTGAAATATACAGTTACATTCAAGTAGTGTTTGGTGCATTTATTTATTGAATGTTGTTTTTTTTCATTAGGGATTATCATATTTACATTCAAATGATAAAATTCATCGAGATGTTAAAGGTAAATCCCATTGTTATATAGCTAGGGTGAACACCAAACGTGATTGGCTGATTTGTGGTCACATGACTTCAGATAAATGCATTGTATCCCGCGGGGCAACAAGTGAAAAATTGTTTCCCGCCCCGACCGTCTACGTGCATAAATTAACAAAATGGAGGCACAACTAGCATAATTCGAAACTACGATTTCTAAGTTTATGTTCAAATAAAGAATGTAAATGAGAAGAAAAATACACAACAGGGAACAGGATTATGCTGCTGAAACTGTTTAAGTAGGTTCTTTTAATTTTAAACTCGTTTACACTATAGAGTTTTTGTCACGAAATACAATCGTTGTATGAATGTTGTTGAATGTTGATTTTTGTTCGTCGCTATATAACAAAACACTTAATGTCTGATAGTTTGTTTTGTTTTCCCTCGAATCTCAATGAGACTCTCGGGAAAACAAAACAAACTATTTCCCTCGAGAGCAGACATTAAGTGTATAATTTTGACCATCACACATAAGTAATATTGGAAACCAATGATATTTGACTAGGCTGATGCAGTACAGTATATCGATATACCGAAAATTGTCGGATTTCTATTCGATATTTAAATTTTTGATATATTGGAATGTCGATATTTTTCGCTATTATTGGCAGTGAAGATAGCTACAGTATATATTCACACCGTTTATTCAGGATCATTGACAGGCGTACATCTTAACGATATTAAACGTCATATCAAGCTTTTCCAAGCGCTGATTGGAGTTGTTTCAAGATGACAATCAATGTGTCAACCCTGTGGGAAAACCCATAAAGTAAAACGTGTTTGTTTACGTTGGCGTTGCGACTTGAGTGATGTGAAAGTTACCATTTCGCTTCTCAGAACGTGATGTTTTAAAACGTAAACACTGGTAGTTGTCTTATTAGCTCGCAACTGTTTGGAGTCATTTGAAAACAGAAACTTTTGCCCTAAAATTACGCAAAGTACAATCGCGAAAAATATCGGTATCGGTATTTTTTTCCGGTATCGGTTTTCGTGGGGTTTTTTTCAATACCGCAAATATACTTTAACCCATAAAGTAAAACGTGTTTGTTTACGTTGGCGTTGCAACTTGAATGATGTGAAAGTTGTCATTTCGCTTCTCAGAACGTGAAGTTTTCAAACGTAAACAATGCTAGTTGATTGCAAAAGTATATCTCTTATTAATACATCGCAACTGTTTGGAGTCATTTGAAAACAGAAACTTCGCGAAAAAATATCGGTATTTTTTCCGGTATCGGTTTTCGTTTTTTTTCTTTCAATACCGCAACAGATTAGAAACCACAACAACAACTTAAAAATTCAAAGATGAAAATAATAAGCAAATGGCGGCCACAGCCTTTTGAATTCACTGACATTTTTAACAATATTTAGCTTTCAAACCTACAAATACATTGCATTTTTGCAGGAACATTTTAAAGGATTTTGCGTGTATGCACTTGACAATTTTAACACTTTCTTCTTTTTAACACTTTCTTTCTTCTCCACTTTCTTCTTCAGCTGGAAATGTTCTCCTAACAGAAGATGGAGTTGTAAAATTAGGTAAGAACAAAAACTTGCTTAGAATCTAATCATAATCGTGATTTTTTATTTTTAACCATTGCCTCATCATCTTTTGCAGCTGATTTTGGCTCGGCCTCAATACTCTCTCCGGCAAATTCCTTTGTTGGAACACCTTACTGGTATGATTCCCCTCAATTTTGTTCTAGCGTAGAATGCTTTCGTATTTTTGAAAGAAGAACAATTCAAAGCATTTGCTCAATAAATTGTAATTTAACTTCAGAATAAACGAGTGATAACAAGTTGAATGAAACAAAAACATTACCTTAAAAATTTCATTGCCTTAAAAAAACTTGAAAGGTCCAAAGAAATTAACGTTAAAGAAATTTCCTTGAAACTAGGAATGCTGGGAAGCAGCAACAAGTGGGAATCCAAAACTATTCTTTTGCGCATGCTCGGTGCCGACTTACGGTGTTAAAAAAGTACCGGACCGACTGAATATTTGAATCAATCACACAGCTTTACTAAGTTTACTTTTTTATATTGAAATATTATTCATCTCTAGGATGGCACCTGAAGTAATTCTTGCCATGGATGAAGGACAATATGATGGCAAGGTAGAGACTGTAATAATCTCCTTGAGATTGTAATCTGCGAAAGTTCTGCAGTACCCATCACCACCAGGCCTCGAATTTCCCTGAAATTAATCGACGGCAATGGCGTTAATAATTGCCGTAGAACGTAACAGCTGTCTATTGCAATTTTGACAGTTCCCACGGCATTTTCAAATTACTGTAATAAAACTTTAATTTTATTGTTACTTTGGATTTTTGACAAGCTTGAAACATGTCTACGCATTTCTTTAGTGTTTTTTTTTTCGAAGAAAACTGAGACTAAAGCCCCGTTTACACTACGCTCAATTTTTGGTACGGCACGGATAATATTGGTACACGTACCAATTTTTTCGGTTCTGGACTACCTTTTTAGGTAGTCCAAGAACCAAAAAGTAATACGGTACCAAAAATTGAGCGTAGTGTAAGCGGGGCTTAGCTAAATAGGTAATTCAAGCACCAAAAAGTGGTACGGGTACCGATTTTATCCGTGCCGTACCAAAAATTGAACGTAGTGTAAACGGGGCTTAAAATAGTGATTTACGCATGATTTGATCAACATCTGAATTCAAGTATCAAAATAGTAATGCACAGTGAACACTAGTATAAAAATTGCACTATACGGCAAAAAATTGCCGTCGTTGCCGCAATGATCCATGGCATTTTGTTCTCCCTCTACGGCAATTGCCGCGATAAAATTCGAGCCCAGATCACCACAGAATAGAAACCATCATTAAGTAACAAAACTTTGGTTGGTAGGGATACAACTGCCTGAAAATACAAAAGAGAACTTCGACGTCTCGAGCGAAGGCGTCAGGAAGTTACCTCGAGTTCTTGTATTTTTCTAATATCTACACTCGCGCAGAGTGTTGAATCAATATTTTGTGTGTGTTTCAGGTTGATGTGTGGTCATTAGGAATAACCTGTATTGAATTAGGTATGTTGGCTTAAACCATAAGACTTTTTTAGTTTGAAAATATGACAGGCAAATATCTGCAGTAATGGACCTTTCCCCTTATAACTAAAATTTTGATCTAGACAAAAATTTCATCACAGCTTGAAAGAGCATCGCAAAATTAGTAATATTCCAAAGTTTCGTTGCGAAATGTTGTAAAATGCGGATAATATATAGCCTTGCGAAGTTTGCCGTTTTTCAGTCATTTTGTATTACGCGCGGGAAATTGACAGCCCAGTCGGGTGTTGGGGCATCAATTCCCCGCTCGTAATACAAAATGACTGAAAATTGCAAATTTCGCAGGGCTATATTATCCGCATTTTACAACATTTCGCAACGAAACTTCGGAATATTACTAATTTTGTGATGCTCTTTCAAGCTGTGATGAAATTTTTGTCTAGACTTGTCTAGATCAAAATTTCAGTTATAAGGGGAAAGGTCCATTATGAAGTGTTTTTTCTTTAGCTGAACGTAAACCACCGTTATTCAATATGAACGCAATGAGTGCATTATATCACATCGCTCAAAATGACCCTCCTGCATTGAGTACGGACGGATGGTAGGTACTAGACAAACGCTTCTTTGTCATTAATTTATTGCAGGTTTCATTAAACATCCAGGAGTGCAGATGGTCGTTAACTTGAGTTGACATTTTTCTCTCAATGTTTTATGATGTTTTTCGCAGGTCTGCAAGTTTTAAACAGTTTATTAGTAAATGTCTCGAAAAAAATCCTCCTGACAGACCAAGCAGTCAAGAACTTTTGCCTGTAAGTACTTTATAGATGCTTCTTTAATTAAACACTAATGGAAGTGAACGCGAATGAAAGCGAACGCAAATGAAAATGAACGCAAATGAAAGTGAACGCAAATGAAAGCGAACGCAAATGAAAGTGAACGTAAATGAAAGTGAACGCAACTGAAAGTGAATGCAAATGAAAGTGAATGCAAATGAAAGGAAACGCAAATGAAAGCGAACGCAAATGAAAGCGAACGCAAATGAAAGCGAACGCAAATGAAAGTGAACGCAAACGAAAGTGAACGCAAATGAAAGTGAACGCAAATGAAAGCGAACGCAAATGAAAGCGAACGCAGATGACAGTGAACGCAAATGAAAGTGAATGCAAATGAAAGTGAATGCAAATGAAAGGAAATGCAAATGAAAGCGAACGCAAATGAAAGCGAACGCAAATGAAAGTGAACGCAAACGAAAGTGAACGCAAATGAAAGCGAACGCAAATGAAAGCGAACGCAGATGAAAGCGAACGCAGATGACAGTGAACGCAAATGAAAGTGAACGCAAATGAAAGCGAACGCAAATGAAAGCGAACGCAAATGAAAGCGAACGCAGATGACAGTGAACGCAAATGAAAGTGAACGCAAATGAAAGTGAACGCGAATGAAGAAACGGCTGCACTTTCATTAACACTCACAAGTACTGGGTATGTTACTGTAATCACGGTTAATTTTCTTTCAGCACGAGTTCTTAACGCAACATCAACAAAAGAACGTCTTAAAAGAACTGGTTCAGAGAACTAAGAGTCAAGTACGGGCATTAGATAACATGAACTATAAAAGAGTGAAGAAAATATTTATGAATGATGGAACAACGGGTGTAGAAGACTCCAGTTCTTTTGATAATGATGATGATGCAAGTTCTCAGGTATTCATCATAGTCCATAACTGGATAAAAATTCCGAAAATCGCGTGATCTTTCCTGCACCATCCCACGTGTGATTCGCACGAGGTTTTTAAAATGTGCAATTTGTTCAACTGAAAATCTCGCGTGGATTAGCAGAGCCTCGCGTGATTTTGCGGTACTATCCCATGATTTGTGAGATTTCTGATCCATGTACTGAAGTCGAGAACCGTACCCGACGTGTATCTGGTTAATTTACTGTCGTTCCAATTGAAGTGTTGCTCAAATATTGATTCAATACATTACCTCGGGCTGACCTATTCATTTGATCAAGTTCCTCGAGATATTCATACACTTCCTGTGAAAGAGCCAATTCCAAGTATTTGATCATTTCTGGTCACTTCCTTTCTATTTATGATTGGTTAGTTGCACAAACAACGAAGGTGATTGGTGCATTCAAACTATTCAACAGGAAGTTTACAATTATACTAGGAAGTGTATGAATATCTCGAGGAACTTGATCAAATGAATTGGTCAGCCCGAGGTAATGTATTGAATCAATATTTGAGCAACACTTCAATTGGAACGACAGTAAGACTGGTTCACACTATCAAAGTTTCTGTGTATCACAGTAGCAGTTTTGGTTAGTAAATTCTACGTTTTGCAAGAAATGCATGAGGGAATTGACTTTGTATTTATTGTCGATTTCAAGTCCTTTTTCAACGCGCGGTTCCCAAGTTCGTTGCGAACTTGCCAATTACGTTTCCAAGTTCGGAAATTGGGCGCGAACTTCGCAACAAAGTTCGCAAGTACATTTCAATATTTGAACTTCCTTTGTAAACAAATGTTCATACTCAATAATAATGATCAATTTAATGAAATACAAACCTTCTTGGTAGACCACTGGACCAAGAACTTTCCATTGAATTGTTAATTTCAACTTGAACTATCACTTGTTTACAGCAGAAGTTCAAACATTGAAATGTACTTCCGAACCAGTTTTTGCGAAGTTCACGCCCAATTTTCGAATTTGGAATAATGGAAACGTAATTGGCAGGTTTGCAACGAACTTGGGAACCGCGCGTTGAAAAGTGACTCGAAATCGACAATAACATTCACACATCCTTCAAAACATAGAATTTACTTCTAGAAAACACATGTTCACAACGCTGTTACTGTACATCGTCAAACAAAAGGACCTGATTTGCACACATTCAGCAAATGATTCAAATAATTAGACAACTTACCTATATGAAAATATGTTCGGTTATTAATATAAAGTTACTATCACAATAACTTTAATATTACCTTATCTAGATGTCTTCATTTTCAAGTACAATGTCTTCTGTACAACTAAATGACGATACGAGTTTAAAATCTGACCTAACATCTAATCCTAATGGCGAGTCTGAATCTAAGGTGGTTATAAAATATATAAACATTGCATATAATATCAAGATAAATATCAATATAATATACTAAATGATCAGTATTAAATTATTGCTTGTCATGATAAATATCAAGAAAGTAATTAAATAAATGTGAATACGTTAAAACGTAAACATAGACCAAGCAAATGATTGAAATTTTGTTTAATTGATTGGAAGGGCTCTGATTTGTAATCATTGATCTTGATCAGCGTGGAATAAACGTGATCTTCTAAAGCAAATCAAATTTATCGCTATTCAAACCTTAAAAGATTTAAACATATTTTGTGAATTAAACTATCCTTTGGAAGTGGTCAATAGACTCAATACAGTGTTAAAAATCTGCGGATTTATAGGGGTGCACCTATCTGAAAAATACTCGTGAAGATGAACTTCATTTTGACACGGACAGTCTTAGGACTTATTTATATGGAAGCCGGGCTGGCCCGCTTAGCGAGACAGCCCGGTAGGCGGGATGAATATCTTTTGTGGTATATGAGAAAATTTCATCCCGCTTGCCGGGACAATTTTGTTGTTTTGAAATTGTTTTGACAGTTGTTAAAAATAGCTTGCGGTGGTAACCGGGCTAGCCCGCTTGTGAGTGTTTATATGGAGAAATTTCCATCCCGGTTAAGCCTGGCGCACACGATGCGATTTTAGTTAGCCGATAAAAAATCGTTTGACATACCGATATACATCGGTATACTCCGCACACGATTACGAAAAAAATACGCTCCCTGAACTGTAGCCGCCATGTTGCCAAATAAATACAAGCACGTGATCACAGCATGAAATCTGTTTGGTTATACTTAAAATTCCACCGATAAAATTCGTATAATATCAAAACGTTTTGATGTTGTCCGATTAAAATCGAGCAACAAAAATCGGTTAAAAATGACACCGCACACACAACGATTTTGTTAGTTTTAGTCAAACGATTTTTATCGGCCGACTAAAATCGCATCGTGTGCGCCAGGCTTAAGCGAGATGTCGCTTCTTTCAGGCGAGATCTCTGCAACCGGACCAGCCCGCTTGTCCATATAAACGCACGATAATTTTTACTATAAAAATAACTACACAGCGAGATCTCTCTTACCAGGCTCTCGCTTAGCGGGCCAGCCCGGCTTCCATATAAACAGGCCCTCAGTTTTTTAAAATCCGTCTTGCAGAAATATTATTATAAATCATTAGAAGTCAATGGACGTTTCGAGCGAAGGCCCTAAGAAGGCCTTTAGTGCCCCAACGAAGGGCCTTTGCTCGAAGTTCTCCTTGTATTTTTCAGGTAGTTGTATCCCTATCAATCTGAAGTTTTGTTATTATTGCCGACAGTGCAAGATTAAATACAATGTTATTCAATGTTGTTTCTTAGGCTGGAGTGAGCAACAATAAGACGGCCAGTGTCCAGAGTCATGGTAGTTCAATATCCAGTAATCATAACAGTAGTACGGAAAGCATACCTGGAGCCACCGCTGAAAGTAAACGTAAAGCAGAAGTCAAGGAGAATATAGCTAAGGATGATGACGTCATCAGTCTATTTACACCCAAGAAGGTAACCACAGTGCTCCCCCCTGGTAGAATCGACTAGTTCCCTCCGGAATATTTGACTAGTTTTCAAGAGTTTGTGTTCTTTGAACCATTCTCCCCCGGAATATTTGACTAGTTTCAAGATTTTTTTTTTTTTTTTTTTTTTTTGAACCACTCTCTCCCGGAATATTTTACTAGTGTTCTAGAGTTTGTGCTTTTTGAACAGCTCTCCCCCTGGAAGAACTGAGGCTTACTACAACGAGGGGAGAATGAGAGTACCCGGTACGGTAGATAAGTTGATACGGTTTATGCGCTGCGTCTTACCGCTGAGATTACTTGACGTGTCATTGCTCTGACTTGTGCTTTTGCGTCTAACTAGACTTGTGGTTGGTTCTGCACTTTGGCCGTTGATTTCCAGGAAATCCGGTTCACTTTTACCCAAAAGCATCCTTAAACTTTGGTCGAATGGTAGCAGCCCAGCAGCCACAGACACCCTAGAAAGCCTTAGACTCCATCATGTTTGAACTGCGTCGCAATTCAGCACTTCGTTACAAGGAAAGATCCCCCCCCCCCCCCCGGGGCTCTTAGTTTCAACCGTAAAGTGTATTTTGGAAATGTTTGCGATATTTTTACTAACGTATTTTCAACATTTGAGGATGGAGAAGAAGACGAGAGATTTGCGACGATACGACCGATCAACGCCATCCTACGACAGCGAGAACAACATCAGTCGAATGATGATTTCAGGGAACAGATGAATGTTTATAAACAAATGAGACAACAACATCAGAAACAGTTACTACAGCTGGAGAATAAACTGAAGAACGAAATGAATGAACATAGGAAACAGTTAGATCGAGAATATGAACAACAGGTCCATCAGTTTGACAGAGAAATGGAGAAACTAAAGAGTAAACATAAAACTGATTATGAGCAGAAGGTACGGCACTTTACTGTTGAATAAACACTCTGACTGATGCAGCTAGAGACTTGTTGCTCTTGAGCTGTCGAACTCATTCGAAATGGATTGACATTTAACGGCTTGTGCAAACCATAGCCTATCTAAGGGAAGATGGCTGTGAAACTCATTCGAATAACAATATAACTCGTTATCTATGTTAGTCAACGTTTATTCATAAATCTGGTCGTTCACCGTCACGTGCGTATTGTATTTTTGCCCAACTAACCAACAGCAATGTTTTAGGAAAGTTACCTATCCGTGACTCGAGGGAAATTGGAAATTGCTACTGGTGGATTTAGCAAAAATACAATACACACGTGACGGTGAAGGACCAGATTTAGGAATAAACGTTGACTAACATAGATAATAAGTTATATACGGTTTATGCGCTGAAGTGCCTTCGATAGGCTATGTAGTCGGCCGACCAAGGTGGCAAAAAGTGCCTCTAAAGAGAATTTGCTGGCAACTTTATGTTAGAAGCTGGTAACAGGCATTTTCTTATAGTTCAAGCCTTGGTGAACAAGACTATATGTGTTACCACTTCTGATTTTTGCTTTATAGCCAAAAATTTGAGAATTTTAAAATTTTGCCTATTAAATTACTATGATGGCAAAAAATGCAAAATTTCATGTTCTCTTATACAAAAAATAAACTATACCACTAGAAAGATCGCAAAAAAAAGTATATATAAGATAATTAAGCGACTAGTGCGATTTTCAAGCCGATTTTGAATTAAAGATGGTTAAAGTTGGCAAAATGGGCACTTATTACACACATTAATTTGGTCATTTCCGTATTTTTTAGCATTAAAAACTGGAAATAGGATTGGAAAAACGTAGAACTCACTTAATTGTCTTACACATAGTTTTTTGCGATCTTTCTAGTGGTATAGTTTATTTTTCGTATAAGAGAACATGAGATTTTACATTTTTTCCGATCATAGTAATTTAATAGGCAAAATTTAAAAATTCTCAAATTTTTGGCTATAAAGCAAAAATCAGAAGTGGTAACACATATAGTCTTGTTCACCAAGGCTTGAACTATAAGAAAATGCCTGTTACCAGCTTCTAACATAAAGTTGCCATCCAGTTGTACAAATTGATGACTTGGTCGGCCGTCTAATGTACAAACAAAACAACCAAGGCCGGATTTTGGTGGAAATAGTGGGGGAGGTGGAAAAAAAATTTAAGGGTGGTGCAATGGTTTAGCTCAAAGTCAACGACGTGACGTATGCATGTTGTGTACATATATGTATCAGTGTATCAATGAATTATGACTGTACAACTCATCCAATTTTGCCCTTCATTACAATCACTACAAAGTTTCTTTCAAAACATCGCATTACAAGGGTACTTGGATGCCTCTCTTTGCCGGACTGGCTAAGAACCGCCAGCTATTTTTGTAAAAACTACCTTACAGTTTTCCAGCAGAAGTGAGACCTCTGTATATATATCTACTCTGTGGTGAAACAAAGCTTTGCTTGAAAACGTCATGGATAATAAAATACATGGATAGGAAACTAGCTGACGTGACCTAATGTTTTCAATGGGATGATGGCGTTGAAACCTAGTTGCAAACCAAATTCTCAAAAACGGCATGTTTAGCGATAATACAGCTAAACATTTTAGTCAAAGAGCAAATAAATATAACTAGGCCATTCTAGGATGAAATCTCTAAGTATTCCCGGTCAATTTTAGCAAATATTTCAAGCACTAAACAGTGAAAAATGCATCGCAAATTTCGTAAAGATTGGCGACGCCAATTTCGTAGCTACAAATGTTAAAAAATACAAAACAAAGACGAAAAACATTTACCTTGAATACTTTGTGTGGCTGAGGCATGTTTTTAAAACAATTAGACTAGTTCATGCTTCATTATTACTCTTTTAAAGCGGAAAATATAGCGAAACAACAAAAATGCTGAGAGCCTTGGCAATACACGTGACGTCACAGATTGCAACTAGGTTTAGACTGTGACGTCAGGAAGTTTCCTATCCAGTTATTTTACAATCCATGAAAACGTCGACATTCTCCTGGCGTTTTTCAGGCATCCCTATCAATGCAAAGTTTTCTTAAGGCATTATTGTCATGAAGTCAGATTTTATACACGATATTAATGTTTAGCTGCGTCAATTTGCAACGGACGAAAGAAAACTGACAAAACAAATCAAAGAACAACATGAAAATGAAATGAAAATGTGCGCCACCAAACAAAAGACAGCGTACAAGAATAACAAGTCGAAATTTAAAAAGGTAAGAATATATGAGAAAATTGTCTCTCGTATTAATCTTCCCATTGTGTTAAAGTGCCTATGACACGAAATTTCACCCCAAAGGTTTATGGTTGCATTGTAAAGATCACTTAAAACGACTTAATAATTTCTTTTATAGAATTTTGGTAACTTGCTTCCTTTGCAAGATATTCAACTTTGTTTCATATGCAAATATCACCGGTGTGACATCACATCTCATAATGAGTTTTCAGAAAAGTATAGTTTTCTTGACGAATACGTACCTAAAAAACTTAAAAATTACCCTTGTATATGTATTAATTTCATAACTGGTAATTAACCCTCTGTATTTGTTTGTAAAAATATTTTATCATGGCAAAATATTGCGTTTTCAAAATGTCATTATGAGATGTGATGTCACACCGGTGATATTTGCATATGAAACAAAGTTGAATATCTTGCAAAGGAAGCAAGTTACGAAAATTCTATAAAAGAAATTATTAAGACATTTTAAGTGATCTTTACAATGCAATCATAAACATTTGGGGTGAAATTTCGTGTCATAGGCACTTTAAGGTTACAGAACACCTTTGAGTGTTAATTTTGCCTAAAATTTTTTATTGGTTTCCATGAAAGCATTAGACTAGTTCTACTATCTGACCAAGTTTGGACGAAAAATGTTGAAAACTCGCAGAGTTATTTAATAAAATACATTTCGCTTGCAATAAGAAAAACATTGAAAATGTAATATTCAAATTCGATTTTCTCCCGAAGAATTTTACGGCAATTACTAACCCTAACCCTAACCTAATCCTAACCCTAACCTAACCCTAACCCGTTGATAAACGAGTTGTGCTCCTGCAAATTTTCACAGTACATAGCTAAAGACGTCAGTTTCAAAATTGTGTTCGGCTTTGTTCTAATTTTGGATATTTTAATAATAAGGAGCAATTCACACAAACGATTCAGAAATATATTGCAGTCGTCAAAGAAATCGCAACAAATCCGAACACAATTTTTTAGAACAACTATTTTACTGTATAAAAATGATATTTTCATAAATATAACGTAAAACCAGCAGGAGCACAACTCAAAAGCGTAAAGGTACCGCGACTTAAGATTTTCCTGAATAATTCTTACATTATTTTATTGTTTGTCAATTTTACAACTTTATCATATTTTGCATGCACTGGCTAACATTTGGTGAAAATTTGATGAAAATCGGACTGATTTTGAGCGCGCAGTAGCGATTTTCCGCAAAACGCCAAAAAGGGTGTCCTGTAATCTTAATTTGCTTTTGTTGTTTGCAGGATCTTCGTGAAGGCAAGATCGATCATTCTAAATACCGTGACGAGAAAGGCAAAGTGGCGGCAGATCAACAGCATTTCACACAAACAAAACTTAAAGAACATAAAGATTATCTCGAGGCAGAAATCAGGAAGTTTCGACGCCAACAAATTGTACATAGACATGACCTTGAAGCAAAATTACTGCGAGAGGTTTGTGTCTATTTACTCTCTTTAAAGTGCATATGACATGAAATTTCTTATTTTCTTGAACGATAGAACTCTTTAAGCTGTAGTGTAACTTATTTTTCAGTTTCTTGTTTTTATGGTTTGTTCCCGAGATATTTCAATTTGTTTGATATGTAAATGAGTGTGAATATGTCCGCTAATTTATGACGTCACGTGGGTTGCAAGCTGAACTTACCTAGTTATAAATCTATTAACTCTAAAAACTGTAGATATCAGTTCACGTTTTTCTACAGTGTTTCATCACATTTACCAGTGAGTGAAGTTTGAAATTATCATCTTGGATGATAGCAGTGATATTCAACCATTTTGAAGAGCTTGCAACCAACATGACGTCATAAATTAGCGGACATATTCACACTCATTTACATATCAAACAAATTGAAATATCTCGAGAACAAACCATAAAAACAAGAAACTGAAAAATAAGTTACACTACAGCTTAAAGAGTTATTTCATTTAAGAAAATAAGAAATTTCATGTCATATGCACTTTAACTCTAATTTGTAATCCTAATCAAGCTATTTAGCGTCCTTAACTGTAATCCCTAATCCTAACTCTGTCTTATCTCTATTGGGCAACAATATGACGACTTTTTGGTGCTGAAAATCTTATATAGGTTAATTTATAGACAAACAATGCTTTCGTGGTTGAAAAAGTATTGTTCCAGCTTTGTTATTCAGTTATTAAACTCAAATTATACTGCTGTACTTCAGGAAATGGACAAACTTGGCGGCCAAAAGGACCAGGCTCATGAAATGTTAGTTCGTCATCACGAGTGTACACAAGACATGGAGTTCCGACATTTGGAAATGGTTCAGAAGATGAGATTAGATCATCAGAAGACACAACAATCTACTGAGTGGAGCAATCAGATGGAATATAACAAGAGAGCCGAGTTAGATCTCAAACGACGACATATGATGGAACAAAAACAACAACCAAAGACATTGAAGGTTGGTGATGATGATAATGGTGATGATGATAATGATGATGATGGTGTTGATGATTATGGTAATAGTGGTGATGATGATTATGGTAATGTGGTGATGATGATTATAGTAATGAGTGATGATGATTATGGTAATGGTGATGATGATTATGGTAATGGTGGTGGTGATGATTATGGTAATGGTGGTAATGATGATTATGGTAATGGTGGTGATGATGATTATGGTAATGGTGGTGATGATGATTATGGTAATGGTGCTGATAATGATGATTATGGTAATGGTGGTAATTGTGGTGATGATGATTATGGTGATGGTGGTGATGATGATTATGGTAATGTGGTGATGATGGTGATGATGATTATGGTAATGGTGGTGATGATGATTATGGTAATGGTGGTGATGATGATTATGGTAATGGTGCTGATAATGATGATTATGGTAATGGTGGTAATTGTGGTGATGATGATTATGGTGATGGTGGTGATGATGATTATGGTAATGGTGGTGATGATGATTATGGTAATGGTGCTGATAATGATGATTATGGTAATGGTGGTAATTGTGGTGATGATGATTATGGTGATGGTGGTGATGATGATTATGGTAATGATGGTGATGATGATTATGGTAATGATGGTGATGATGATGATTATGGTAATGTGGTGATGATGATTATTGTAATGGTGGTGATGATGATTATTGTAATGGTGGTGATGATGATTATGGTAATGTGGTGATGATGATGATCATTATGGTAATGGTGGAGATGATGATTATGGTAATGGTTATTATAATGATTATGGTAATGGAGTGATGATGATGATGATGATGATTATGGTAATGTGGTGGTGATGATGGTGTTGAAGGTGGTGGTGATAATGATGATGGTAATGGTGATAATGATGGTGGTGATGAGAAATATTTCCCAGAACAGGATTTACTCTATATTGTGTTTCAATCAAGTTACTTTTTTAAAGTCATCCAATTATTTTTTCCTTTCAGGCGCAAGAACTTAAGATCAAGAAGCAGTTTCATGACACGGTCAAGATCCAATATCGCCAATATAAAGCATATCAGAAGCAAGTGCTACAAACAGCGCCCAAAGAGAATCATAAAGAATTAATTGAGACATTTAAAGAAGATCGGAATCGTAAAATGGCGGATCTCAAATTACAATATGATCAGAGTATTTATGATATGCTACAACGACAATCAGTAAGTGATCATTGTTTTTCGTTAAAAGGCTTGAATCCAGGTTCATTCGTTTTGTTTGTTTTATTTGTTCTTCTAGATTATTACAAAATTTAATAAGGAAGTGGAGACGTTCAAGTCTTTGAAAATGATCATGTTTCGCTCGCTACTCTGGTTTAAATAAATGATTACAAAGCCCAGTCGAATTGTAATCAAGACCCAACGTTTCGACACTCCAGTCTAGTGTCTTCATCAGGAGTGATCTAAAGATGCAATCGTGGCTTCTTAAATACCCAAGGGATGACGTCACCTGCCAATGAGATGCATGTATTCGTCTGGCAAATAGGCACCGTCGTCCCTATTCAAAGCATGATTACTCATATTTATATGCCACGCTTCTAGGCAAAGTCTTTGACCATAGCGATTGTTTCTGGTAATTACTTTAGAGTTTTCCCACGCAATCGATTGTTTGTGGTAATTTTCCCAAATTACCTCAAACAATCGCTATGATCAAAGACTTTGCCTAGAAGCGTGGCATATAAATATGAGTCATCATGCTTGGAATAGGGATGACGGCGCCTATTTGCCAGAGGAATATATGCATCTCATTGGCAGGTGACGTCATCCCTTGGGTATTTAAGAAGCCACGATCGCAGTTTTAGATCACCCCTGATGAAGACACTAGACTGGAGTGTCGAAACGTTGGGTCTTGATTACAATTCGACTGGGCTTTGTAATCATTTATTTAAAACAGAGTAGCGACCGAAACATGATTGATATACCTGGTTGCAGTGAACGAACAAACTTTAAATCTTTGAAAATGATTTTCGTATATGAAACCGAAACGTTAGAGAAAACTTATTTAATATTGTAATGATCTAGAATAACAAATAAAACAAACAAAATGATCATTATGCTTGTGATGTTACTCTGAGTTTATATCCACACCGGGCAAGCTTGAAAGATATGCCTGTCCACGGTGGAACCTACGACCTTTTTCCAAAGGTCGTAGGTTCGATTCCCACCGTGGCCAGGCACATTTTTCAAGCTTGCCCGGTGTGGATATACACTCAGAGTAACATCACAAGCATCATATTCGCCTGAGTACATTACACCAGTCACCAACACAGACAATATTATCATTACGGCCATTTATACGGGACAACATCAGTCGCGACTTACATAAGACGCGTCCTATATAAGCAGAGTTATCGTATAGATTGTTCTCCACGGCCCTAGTCTTATTTACTTGCTATAACTATAATGTTGTTTTGGTTGTTTTTGTTTTAATATGCAAGACTAATAATTTTACGTTGTTTCAAGTTTCGGGCATGTGTAGTTAGACGTTTTATCCAAAATGCCTTATTTAAGACGCGACTTAAATAAGAACAGCTAAAAATCCTGTTCTTATTTAAGTCACGTCTTATCCAAGACGCGACTTACGTAAGAATTTTGTACCTTTTATACGACAAACTCGCGTCTTATTTAAGTTGCGGCTTATGTAAGTCGCGACTTATTTTGTCCCGTATAAATGACTCTAGGGATGAGCCGATAAGGAAAATTGCCGATTACTGAGGCCGATTATTTATAAGCCAATTATTGCAACTAATCGGCCGATTAATCGGTACCCACCGATTATTTTAAAAAGCAAGCGAAAAATCACAAGATGAACAACAATGAAGTTGTAAATGTGGTTTTATTGTTTACAATACACACTTTGTACAATTAAAAACAGCTTCAGTCTCTCATATCAATAGTCAAAGTTTAGTTTTGGCAGATTATGGTGTAAAAACAAGGCACTGTCAGCTATGCGGAGCTAGTCTGCTGCGTTTTTTTAGTGGAAATGTTCCCAGCTTCACTTTGCTTGAGACAAAAGACACAGGTTTTGCAACAAAATGTGAAAATCTATTCGCTTGTATTCAGTATTTTAGCATGTGATTGGCAGCTGCAGAAAAAGTCTTATGGCCGATTATCAGGCAATAATCGGCCGATTACCGATTATTTAAAAAACGGCCGATTAATCGGCTTTGCCGATTATTTACCGATTAATCGGCTCATCTCTAAATGATTCTATTGTTTTATTAGTATGTGGGTGGGATACAGACAAGAAAAGGTTCATTCAAGGACCTCTTAGTGGTTAACACGCTGTCCCGCTGTGTTAGGACTCGAGTTGTCATTCCATATATATATGGATCTCACCCTCCCTAGCATAATTCAACCATTAAATGGAATAAAACTATGTTTTTCAGTTACGACTTGATGAAGAACAATTAAAAGAACAAGAAAATCTTCGTTCAAAACTCCAGAAAGAACAAGATCTACTGAGTGCTTATCAGGCGAAACAAATGGAACAATTAATGAACCAACACGAGCGAGAATTGAGAGAATTACAGGAGACGGTCTCGGTGAGGAGAGCTGTGCTCGAACAAAAAGTGAGTGGAGAATTATCAGAGGGCACTCGGATATACCTCCCACATCGAATTAACTTCATGCATAAATTATACAATAGGCCAATTGACCACTTGCGTAATAGACTAAATTTTGATCTCAACAAGTCTAGACAAAACTTTCATCACAGCTTGAAAGAGCATCACAAAATGAATAGTAATATTCCAAAGTTTCGTTGCGAAATGTTCTAAAATGCGGATAATATAGCCTTGCGAAGTTTGCCGTTTTTCAGTCATTTTGCATTACGCGGGGGAAATTGACAGCCCAATACCCTTTGGCTCTGTCAATTTCCCGTTTGTAATAGAAAATGACTGAAAAACGGCAAACTTCGCAAGGCTATATCCCCAGTTTAAGTGAAATTTTGATCTAGACAAGTCTGGACAAAAATTTCATCACAGCTTGAAAGAGCATCGCAAAATTAGTAATATTCCGAAGTTTCGTTGCGAAATGTTGTAAAATGCGGATAATATAGCCTTGCGAAGATTGCCGTTTTTCAGTCATTTTGCATTACAAACGGGAAATTGATAATCAGATGATCAAACTGATTATCAATTTCCCATTTGTAATACCAAATGACTGAAAAACGGCAAACTTCGCAAGGCTATATTATCCGCATTTTACAACATTTCGCAACGAAACTTTGGAATATTACTAATTTTGTGATGCTCTTTCAAGCTGTGATGAAATTTTTGTCTAGATCAAAATTTA